CTCTATATATATGTATGTGTATATATGTTTTACTGAAAATATATAGTTTTCTTTTGGTCAGATTCTGTGAAAGCTGCCTTAAGGAGTGCTTGCGGCCTCAGAAACCTGTGTGTGCAGTCTGCAGGTCTGACCTACACAAGTGGAAAAAAGCAGATGATATACAAAATGAGATGAAAAGATCAATCGGAAAGTGCAAAGGCTGTAAAAATGAGGTGTGTGGTTAAACTGTTTAAGTTATATTTAAATGATGTGCAGTGATATTTATAAGTGCTTATTTTAGCCAAGAACCACCGTCAGACCGATATATAATCAATCAATCATTAGGGACATGTGAAATAGATTGTACTACAGTAATAGATTAATGGGTAAGATAAAACAAACTTGAATGGTTGTGCAGGGAATATTGAAGAAATTAGTGAGAATTAGGAGTGTGATATTGACAAAAAAGTATCTTAATATTTTTGGGGATTTTGTCAGTGACGATAATTACACAATATTTTGCTGTCTGTGTTTTTGTGCTTGTGCCTTGGTAGATTTAGCCCTGTTGTGGACAACTGACTCCCAGAGAGCTTCGTATTCTTCATATTCTGTGTGGTCATTAGTTCACAGTAGTGACAGAAATTAAATTTGTCTTTGAGGGCAACATTTGCCCCACTAAATTGATTTCCAGGGCATGTTTACCTTTATAAGAGCAAATGTTTACTAACCCTAATAAATGTATGTGTCATCTTATATGTCAAATTAAACATTTAATCAACACATTCGATTAGAAAAATAAGACATTGTAAGGCTGTTAACAATCCAGAAACCAGTCTGAACAAAAGCCATCTTTACACTGCAGAAGTGGCACATGAACGGTTTCTTAAGTGGCATTTAGATGTATTTACACAGACTGTTTAATGCGGCTCAGAGGTGTCATAAATGCATTTACACTACAATTAAAGTTGCATAATTAATATTATTTAAAAAAAAATCTATTTTGAATTTTGAGATATGAAATGACAAATACAAACAAATAAATATTTTTAAACATGAAACTAAAAGTGCCAGTAGGTGGCGACAAGTTTTAATGAGTGAGGCCTGGGCGATAAAACGGTATCGATATTTATCGACAGTACTCCTTCATCGATAACGATAGAAAAAATGTTCGATAGCTATAGGCACGTGCTCTGAGTGACGCAGACAGCACACACAAACACGAACACATGCTGAAATGAGTGCTGTGCCTGCCTGTGACAAGGAGATTGTGAACAAAAAAATGTATATTAGTCGAATTTAAAATAAACAAAAAAATGCATTTGAATGTTAGGTGAGCGTCGTCAGTTGCGTGAGATGTGGTGATGATGATGTAAGTGACGTTGTTGCATTTTAATGTTTTGTTAGTCTAGCCCACGAGACGCATTATTCCTTCAAAATATTAGCGAAATATAGAAGCTCAATGCGGAGAAGATCTTGAATGGGTTAAAACCGAAACCAAGCCATTCAAACAGAACGCATATTCAGCACATTTTTTTAGACGGACAAATATGACTGCTGCACTCGCGTCACACAAGAGATGTAGCCATGAAAAGTTAAAACAGTTTAAACGTTTAGAAAACACGTCGTGAATTTGTGGAGGTTTATTCCTTTTCACTGCGTCTCATATGTTTTTAAATGCAATCTGTGTGATGGGCGATTCGGCTCTTTTTTTTATTTATGCAATGCATAAATACATGATGCTGTTTTGTTCATAATTGTTTATGCAATTTCCGAAATTATATTTGATTTTATATATATATATTGGCAACTCCAGTGAAAAAGTTATTCCTCCACAATTTTTGTTTCCTGCCAGACTGATCAAAACCTGTGGACCAGGTAGAAATTGTGTACTATCAGGCATTCTGTTTAGAGCTTTCGGATTTCACAAGCGGTTTGCAGTTGTGTATGCGATATGCATCAGATGGTCCGTGAACAGACTGTGGGTGGTCCGTGAGCTTGCTGTCTGAGTCTGAGGTGTTCCTAGAAGAAAACTGTTTCATCTACTCTCCGCCAGGTTCTTTTGTCTGACATGAGAACCCACACAGGGGTTTGCTCTAAATATCAAGACTTTATCAAGGAAGGCATGAAGGCCATTTCAAAGAACCAGCCTTCCACTGTCAGGTAATATATCTGTTTTTCAGTGTTTAAACATTTTCTTCAAAATATGAAAAAAGTCACATTAAATGACACCAAAAGTTCAAAGCCATGATCAGATCTTAAGTCCAGTTTGAATAAGAAAAAAAGTTGAAGTGGACCACAAAACCAGTCATAAGGGTCAATTTTTTTTAAATGGAGATGTATACATCATCTGAAAGCTGAATAAATAAGCTTTCCATTGATGTATGGTTTGTTAGGATAGGACAATATTTGGCCGAGATACAACTATTTGAAAATCTGTAATCTGAGGGTGCAAAAAAATCTAAATATTGAGAAAATCTCCTTTAAAGTTGTCCAAATGAAGTTCTTAGCAATGCATATTACTAATCAAAAATTTGATATATTTACGGTAGGAAATTTACAAAATATCTTCATGGAACATGATCTTTACTTAATATCCTAATGATTTTTGGCAAAAAAAGAAAAATCAATAATTTTGAAGAGAAAGGAAAAATTGAAATCCCATCATATGACCCCTTTAAGCCTTTCCATGAAAATGCATGTATCTACATATAGCTATATATTGAATATCACTAAATAGGTATACATATCAGCATATGATTTTTTGCTATATCACACACTCTTAGTAGAAATAGTACCTGTGGAGTCAGGAGTTAATGGGAGGTTGTGACCCTTGTCTCCACTCCTGCAGGTGTGTCCGATATGTGCCTCAATGCCCTGGGGTGACCCTAATTACAGGAGCGCTGACTTCTTTCAGCACCTCAGAATGAGACATGCTTTTTCCTATGACACCTTTGTGGTAAGTAGATCACAACATTACCATGCTCTGGTTTCCTAGTGTTCAAAGAAACTAAAACAAAATTGTCATAGTTCTGTCAAAAGGAATCTTGTTCAGATGTCTTTTATATCTAGCTATTCAAGGATAGATATAATTCCTTTTATATCCAGCTATAACATGGATCAGTCTTGCTGTTTGGTTTTTCTGTGATTTAAAATGGGTTATCTTCTCCAGTATTCAGTAAATAAACATAACGTGTGTATATATACTGTATATATATATATATATAATTACCTTTGGTATAAATAGTTGGTCTGACCTAACCGCAGTGCAGTATCAATTTATTAAAGTTATTTAACAGTCCAGAACCTGGTTTTTATTACCTAATCTCTATTACTACAAAAGGCTGGACCAGCTCAAGTTCAAAAAGAAACAAACAAATAAATAAGTAGGGCAACCAGCATTATATTTGATTTATTTATTTATGGAATGATGCATATGAAGCTCATAGGGATTAGCTTTTCTAGCTTTATAAAAGCAAACTCAAACAGAAAGGTTTCAAATCTAAATGAACAATTGCGCATATAACAGCTCAATGTAGTATTTACATCATAAATGCATTACACATTAAGTGAAAATATATGAATTCTCATTTGAAATATGAAGTCGAGACTGACCGTGGTTGGTGGTCGGTGGACTGAGCTGAGACGTAAATACATATTTCTTGTATCTTATAGGATTACTCCACAGACGAGCAAGCCATGATCCAGGAAGCTTTACAGCGCTCTCTCATGGAAAACTGATGCGCGGAACATATGGATCCCCAGCTGAACGCCACCAAAAATCAATGCTTATGCTTACAAAAAGAAAGAAATACGTTGGGATTCAGGGCTATTGTGATATATATTATTCTACACACACTAATGTTGGTCAGGCCAAAGTTCCTATTGGTGTAATTTTGGAGATTTACTTATTTAAACGGAGTCATATATAGCATATATTCATAAATAAAATATTCCCATATACATTCTTAGCTGTCAAAATACATAAATACATACTGCCCATTTATAATTAATTAAAGTTATATAACTGATTTTTGTTTCTATAGTATAGTTTGCGTAGCAGATTGTCAGATTTTGTGGCACTGGAGCAGAATAGTCTGATATAGATACATAAGGTGAGTCTTGTCAGAAGCTTTTAGGGTAGAAAATATTGATATTGATATGATCAATCATTAAGGTCACTGTTTTGAGTGTGTCAGCTAATGCAGAGGTAAGTTAGAGGAAGCAAAGGAATAAGCTTTTTCTGTTGGTGTGTTTTGTATTATGTGATGCTTTTAAGAAGTTCAACTGAACCCTTGTTAGAGCTGTGTTTCACTTTGCAGTTAAGTGTTCAGCTATGTACTGAAATGAGTTTATGTTCGAACCAGTAGGGGGCAGTATTGTATCATTAGTCCACCACGTTGTTTATTGTCTCTGTGCTCTCTGACCCAAGCAGTGCTCACTTAGTGTAGCTACTGACAAGTACATGACTTGATCTGACTGTGTACTGATAGACTCTGCCCTTAAAGGGATAGTCCACCCCAAAATGAAAATCTTGTCATTATTTACTCTCACTTTGTTGTTCAAACCCTGTATGCATTTATATTCTGTGTGGAACTCAACAGAAGATATTATGTACAGAAAATATGTACTAAGTTGTTTTGGACCACACTGACTTACATTATATAGATAAAACGGATCTTCTTCTGTGTTTTACAGGAGCAGGAGTCATTCAGGTTCAGAATGTCATGAGGGCGAGTAGAAGATGAGAGGATTTGCATTATGGGTGAACTATTCCTTTAGGCTCCTAATACATTTATGTAACCCAGTAGAGGGCGTTAGTCGAACTGCACATAGCAGTTTTATAATATGTTAAAGTTAGTCCGTTTAATTGGCAGTAGTTTGAAATCCTGCAATCTATTGAACCAAATTGTAATTTTGCGTTCGATAAAGTCAAACTTGTGTTGCATGCTGTTTGATGTGGATTTTACCACTGTGAAGATAAGTCATATCCTGTGCCTGTTTCATTCATGCGTTATTATTAGTGCTTAATGGTGATGATTCATTGACCTGTACGTTTTTTGGGTGAATTGGTTTTGTATAGTTAATAAACCTTTTCTCAAAAGCCTTTTAAATGTGTGTCAAATGAAACTGCTGTAGCATTATCTTTTCTCAATCCTTGATTGTGTTACTGGAAGCATGTTCAAAAACACACTTTATTACTTCCCCCCTCCACCTCCACCTCCACCCGTTCAATGCATGTGCGTTCAGTTTTATTAGAGCGTGAATCTCTCCCTCTCCTCCGCTCTGACTCCATTACTGTTGCTCATTTCCTGTCCCCCAGCAACTGTCCGCTTTCATGTCTGAAGGTGCTAAATCCTGATAAATTAAAGCGCTTTAATTATTTAAACACTGGACCCTGAAATCACTGTGAGTGATTTATACGGGTGCGTTAGACATGTTGGGCCAGAAACAACACCCACTTCTCTGATGGATGACTAAACGGAGGAGCTAGCAAGCACTGCACGCTTTAACAGTTACAGGATCTTTCAGGATTTTTTAAAAAGCGACGCCCATCACAAAAATTGCATATCATTCTGGAAATAAAAGTGTTTTTTACAGCCTGATGATACTGTATGAAAGGGATTTCCTAAACTCTGTATGATAGGAAGTGGGGAGTTTTATGTGACGCATAGGTGAACACTTTTCAGTTCCTTATCCGCTTGTTAAAAGGATGATTCAACCAAAAAAAGAAACATTTACTCGCCCTCATGTTGTTCCAAACCTGTATAAATGTCTTTCTTTTGTTGAGCATAAAAGAAGATATTGTAAAGAATGTAGGTAACCAAACAGTTGCTCGTCCCCGTTGACTTCCATAATATATAACATATCCCAAATGCAAACATGTTTATATGTACTGTATATGCATGTGCGTTGCATGAAGCTGAAAGTGTATTGTCACAGCGGACAATAGAAATTGACTTTGAATCATTCAAAACGGCAAACCTCCAGGAATCAAAAGGGCTAAAACCTACAAAAATGTTATTTATTCATCAATCCAGTTATCCTTAATCCTACACCTGTGCATGGAACCACATTCACCTGTGCAGAGTAGAAGAGCCTAAACACAACTAAAACAATGTTCTTCTGTGAGTCACATGCAGTTTTATTTTCTGACCCCTAGAGGGCCCAAAGTTGCACCCAGATCGCATACTTCTACACAATCTGTCTCTTTTTGAGAAGAAAAGTAAATAGATGTCTGTGTGTAGCAGAAGAGTAGCTAAGCTACAGAAGTTATGAAGTCAAGAGCAGATCTGAGTGTTTTATGTTTATTAGGAGTTAAGAATGTGCTTTCGAGGATACTTGCTCAAAAACAAGCACTTTGAATTAATTTTGAGTGTATATGTCCGTTTAAGACGCAACTGTGAGCTCAGTTTGGTAGTGGCGCTGAGATGCGCATACTCTGTGTCCCAAATCAAATACTTCCCTAAAATACAGTAAGCCAAAAAAGTAGCATGTCTGAATTCGTAGTATTCGAAAAACAGTAGGCGAAAAGTACCCGGATGATGTACTACTTTGCCGGGATTCTGATGGGCGCATTCGATGGACAGTTTACTATCCCATGAAGCCACGGGAGAGGATTTATAAATAGCACTGAAGTAGATGCAGGTAGATCACGTGAGAGTAACAGCATGACGGATGCAATACGTCTGAATTTCATTCATGCTACCCATACTGTATAGAACATACTTTTTTAATGGTCGCAAAGTTGGTTCAAATTCAAATGTAGTACCTACTCAGACAGTATGTGATTTAGGACACAAATACTGGAGCTGAATTGAACATCACACACATTTTTTAATTATTATGGGGCCAGGGTGGGCTAAGCTCCTGCCTCCTGTGCAGCCTGGCCTGATTTTTATTTTTTTATTTTTTTAAATTAATGTTTGTAAACTAATCCAAATCCTCCAAAGCGCAATGGGTTGTAGGCAATATTAGCTGTTGGAGTTTAAGTTGTTTTTGATATAGCTAAACTCAAAAACTTCATATAGAGAAAAATGTTTCTTGATAACCTAAAATGTTTTTTTTTTTTTTTTTTTTAAGGGAAGCTCTCAGTATGCCTTGATATTGCTTTTTTTTAAACACATTTATTTGGGATTTGTGTAGAAAAAAGTGTTAATTGGACTTCTTTGTGATTTATGATGAAACTCTTCCCAGCAATCAGTGGAGAGCAGCAAGTTTATTTACACTGTCCACAGGGACAGAAGATGCTTCAACTTTGTTGTCTTTGCTTCCCACACACTGTTTCAGTAATTCGTTTTCAGATCTCCATCAGGTCTCCTGCCTCTACACAGTAAATTCTCGAACCTGCTTGATGTTGTTCACTTTTTTTTTAAGATTTCTCCTTTCTTCTTTCCTTGTGTGTGTTTTTTATTATTATTATTATTATTATTATTATTCTTTTGCTCCTGGCAGATGTAGAAGTTCTCTAAGTTTGATCTAACAAGTTACTGTAGGGCTTCCAGACAGGAAGGAAATGGAACTGCAAAACACTGTCTCTCGCTCTCACCGTCTCTTTGTCTCGCCCCTTTTTGGTGGCAGTTGTTTTAAGGGAAGATAGGAAAAAAAGGAAGAAGAAGAAAGTGAACATACTGAATGACATTTTCATAAAGTTGAGCATGTGGCTTCTTTGATGAGAGAATGTGAAATGGTGTTAAGTCTCAGCGCTGTGTAGAAGCGGCAATTAGCGTAACATGTTCCCCCTAGAGGCCTGTGCCGTGAGAGAGACGAAGGCTTTGTTTTCTTCAGATTCACTCACATGCTGTGCCTCCTTTTCTCATGTTCCCTTCTTCAGTCACCCACCTAGGAATCATCACCTGTTGGAAGTGAATGTGATGACGAGCACTCATCATTATCTCTGGCAGTGAAGTAGAACTGAAATTGACTAAACAGACATTTTGACTAGGCCCAAATCTGTTCCTGCAGAAAAGCTGCTAAAATGAGTAAAGTAGTGTCAGCTTGGTTTAACACATCTTGCCATGTCAGCGCATTTCTCATATGATTCATTATTATAATTCGGGTAACTTTGGTGCAGGTATTGTTTGGTCTACAATCATAATACTGTGTGGCTTGTTGAGGAGACGTGTGCTATTACTTTTCTAAAAGACCAAATGTATGATTTTCACCAAGCAGAAGATCAGCTACTGCAATGCAACAATATAGGCTCATTGGAAAAATGTGCCTCTACCTACATTTTTGCTTCAAAAATATACATAAACACACTATTCACTGCCGTTTCCAATTAAAATGACCACTAGTGGCAGTAAAACGCCAACAACTTTTATTTCTTTTTACACAAGTTATGATTAAAGTTTATTAATAGGCTTATTTTCATGCAGGTCTTTGCCTGACATACTATGTCATGTCCTCAAAGGTCAATATGTGTGGCTTTTCTGACATGCTGTATTGCCAGTACCCATTGAACTCTCTTTCACATCAGCATGCTGATGAGTTACCTCTTAATATATGTTCCCATTAACAGCATGTTCACTCGCGGCTGTGTACTGTTTATCTTCTTAGATTTGTGCCTGGAAAGTGTAAGGTCTCTCTCCTTCATATTTTGCTGATCCAGGTATATCTGTGCATTTTGATCATAGCATGGGGAGTTTGCTCACCGCCAAAATTATTCAACGTCAGGAGAAACAGGAAGCCCAAAACAGGAATCCCGCCACATGCCCTGGCGATGCACGCGCGGCACGACAGGTTAATCCTCTCACATGTTTGAACAGAAATGGCCACCGGGCATCCCCGACTTCAAGAGCCAGTCTGCACGACTCTTCCGCTGCTAAACTCCTGCCGTCCAACATGCAGCTCTTCCTGTGTGGCAGCCTGTATGTGGGAAGTGGTCCTGGCTTTGATTTTATTACGCCTGAAACCAACCTGGCACTGAATCAGCTCCTACCACTCACCAGGCTTTTCAGGTTTACACTCGTTAACTTCCTGTGCTCCGCGCCAGCCTTAAAATGCATTAAAGAGAGAAAGAGGAAGGAAATAAGAGAGCGATGCCGTGCCTTTGGTATCGTTCTGAAACCACAGTGGTCATGAAATGACTGAGAAAGTGACCTCCAAATATGAAGGAACTGTATGCACATAAGATATTAATTCTCTGCCATCTCTTCAATGTCTCTATTATTTAGCAGTCTTGAAGGCAGTGAAGAGATTAGATGGAGAACAAACAGAAACTCTGTAAAACTTTAGGTTGGGAAACACTATTCACTATTAACTAGTTGCTTATTAGCAAGCATATTACTAGCATAATTGCTGTTTATTTGTACCCATAAAGCACATATTAATGCATGACCATATTCTAGATATCTTAATTCAACCAATACCTAAACATAACTACTACAACATCTATCTTACTTACTATAAGTAAGCAGCAAATTAGGAGTTTATTGAGGGAAAACTCTTAGTTAATAGTGATATGTGTTCCATAGTCTAATGTGTTACCAGAAGCCTTTCTTTCTTTCTTTCCATTGAAAAACAACAACAAACTGGTTCAGAATGATATAAGTGTGAGCAAAAGTGAAACCAGTTTGATTTTTGGATGAACCACCCCAATAACTCTCCTGATTTTCTGATATTTCACCTGAGAAAGCTCCATTGATCTCCAATGCTGCTCCTCTAGCGATCTGTGTCTCACTGGTCTCAGATTTGAGACCCCAAAGTCAGAGATTTTAAAATGTACTTAATTATTTCTCATTACATGTTTCTGGTGTCCATATTCATTTTAAAAATCTGTTGTATCATTTTATATAGGGAATAAAATTGTCCTCATTTGGATATTGGTAATTTTTCAGTCATTCAACATGAGTGTAGAGCCGTGGTCTGGTGGTTAGCACACAATATCCAGACCACATCATGGCCCGATCCTGTAAAATAAAATAAATAAATAGAATAAAAAATATATATAAAAGAGAGAGAGAGAAAAAAGCACTGTGTAAATGCTCATTGTTGTGGGAACAAGAGGTTTCTGTCTGAGTTGTTATCATACTGGTGTATCAGCAGTCTATGAACGAATTTGATCAAACCAAGTTTGAAAAAAATTTGATCCACTCTGAATCTGAGAGCCATGGAATTTGGCCTAGAGATGATGTATTTGATTATAATTGCAGCCTTCATCTTTGTTGCTACAGTATACTTGTTGCAATGGTGACTGCCAATGC